GAGAGACAGTTGGGGGGGTGAGTCAGGGAAAGAAAAAGGAAGAGCGGATAAAGAGAAGGGTGGATAAAGGTCCTCCCTATTGACAACGGCTTTCATCTTTATAATTCAACCCCTCGCGCCACCCTCAATCCATTTTGCTTTTTCTCCCTAATGCTTTTTTACCATCCTTTGCCCGTTGTGTTCCACGTGTCACCTATCACATACCATCCACGGACTTACGCCCTTTTCTTTCGCCAAAATTTTCTGCTCTTCTCTCACCGCGAAAAGAACCCTTTTCAACTCTTTCTCCCCCGCTCGTTTTTGTTGCCAACTGTCTCGTGTGTTTCTGTTATTTGCATTTGCCTCGAGAATCACCTTTGTTAACGGTTTGTTGCCGATATCTTGAATTACATTCGGTGCCAGACGGAATTTCAGGATTTGCGAGTTTAGCGTTTATTGATTAGCGGTATTGATTTTTTGTTTCGAGTTTTTTTTTAGCGTTGAGAAAAAGTAATATTTTGTGTACTTTGTATATTTAATAAGATTTGTGGTTTATTGGGGGAGTTCAGTTTAAGGGAGAAGTGTCTTATTTGGTTTTTGGGATTTGTTGTTTATTAGTTGGGGATATTGATTTTTAGTTTGTATTTTGGGATTTATTGTTTACTAGTTACAGGGGTGGTGATGTCTTGTTTAGTTTTTGGGATTTGTTGTTTATTAGAGGGGATATTGTTTTTTAGTTTATATTTTAGGATTTATTGTTCATTAGTTAGGGGTAGTGATGTCTTGTTTGGTTTTTGGGATTTGTAGTTTATTAGTTGGGGATATTGATTTTTAGTTTGTATTTTAGGATTTATTGTTTACTAGTTACAGGGGTGGTGATGTCTTCTTTACTTTCTGTGAGTTTATTGTTTATTAATTAAGGGTATTAATATCTTGTTTGGTTTTTGAGATTTGTTGTTTATTGGTTAGGGTAATGTCTTGTTTACTTTCTGTGAGTTCATTATTTATTAGTTAGGGGTAGTGATACCCTGTTTATTTTATGATTTTATTGTTTATTAGTTAGGGGTATTAATGTTTTATTGTATTTCTGTATTTATTGTTTATTAATTAGGGGTATTAGTATTTAGTTTGTTTTATGAGATTTATTATTCAAGTTACCAACATTGATATTTAGTGTTTTATGAGTTTTATAATTTATACCATAATTATAGTAAAACTTATAGTATTGTCACTAATTTATCACTAAATTAAATTTTATGAGGTTTGTTATTTATAGGCTAACAATAATAATATTTAGTTACTTTTGTGAGATTCATTAATTATTAATATTGATATTTAATAATGAAGTATCAGATATAATATATATTAGTAAATTAGCAGTATTGATGTTTACTGTTTTGTGAGATTTATTATTTCTTAATAAACAATATTAATATTTAATCTGTTTTATGAAATTTAATATTTATTGATAACGTATCAATATTAATATTCAATTTGTGTTATGAAATTTAATATTTATTAGTAAATTATCAATATTAATATTCAATTTGCTTTATGAAATTTAATATTTATTAGTAAATAATCAATATTGACATTTAATTTGTTTTATGTTTAATATTTATTACTAAATTATCAATATTGATATTTAGTCTGTTTTATGAAATTCAATATTTATTAATAAATTAGCAATCTTAATATTTTATCTGTTTTATGAAATGCAATATATATTAGTAAATTAGCAATATTAATATATAATCAGTCCCAACATCAAATTAAATTTCATCAATACAATTGCATGTAATCAGTTCAATTAATCACTCAGCATTGTTTTACTCTCTTCATTTTCATACATTTGTTAAAACATGTTCAGATAAAACCCCATATCACAAAATATCTAATAAATATCTTTCTGAATAACATGTACCATCATCTTATTTTGAGAACAATATAATAATAGAAAAAAAATAAAATAATGTTAAGTTAGTATTATTAATAATAATAGTATTATATAATAATAATTAACATTAAAATGTAATTATATTCTCCAGAAAATATACACATATTTCTATGTAATACATCAAAAATATATACCAGTATATAATACATAGAAAACAAATACCTATATACATATAAATATAATACAATATTCAATATTTAAAGACTTACCTCAGGCACCTAGCTTATATAAGGGTTGAATTAAATTTTCACCCTCTCAGTGTCGACCGCAAGAGCTGTACCTAAAGCAAAAATATAAAATCTAAAAAAAAAGCTAAAAAAATGTAGTCAAGCTTAAAAAGAGATCCTAAAAAAGGACTGACATTTAGAAAATTCAAGAAAAAGAATATATTAAAAAATAAATGTCAACTATCTGCAAACACCGTCAACAATTACATATTTATAATTTATTGAACACTAAAATAATTTTAAAAAAGAGACAAACAAACAGTGTAGAAGTAAATATATTCAAGAGAAAGAAAATATTAAAAAATAAATGTCAACTATCTACAAACACCGTTAACAATTATATATTTATAATTTATTAAATACTAAAATAATTTAAAAAAAGGCAAACAAACACTGTAGAAGTAAACATATTCAAGAAAAAAAAAATATTAAAAAATGAATGTCAACTATCTGCAAACACCGTCAACAATTATATATTTATAATTTATTGAATACTAAAATAATTAAATAAAGAGAGACAAACAAACACTGTAGAAGTAAATATATTTAAGAGAAAGAAAATATTAAAAAATAAATGTCAACTGCAAATTAATGCAAATCTGCAAATAAATGTCTGCAAACACCGCCAACAATTATACATTTATAATTTATTGAATACTAAAATAATTAAAAAAAAAGAGATAAACACACAATGCAGAAGTAAACATATTCATGAAAAAGAAAATATTAAAAAATGAATGTCAACTATCTGCAAACACCGTCAACAATTATATATTTATAATTTATTGAACACTAAAATAATTAAAAAAAGAGAGACAAACAAACACTGTACAAGTAAACATATTCAAGAAAAAGAAAATATTAAAAAATGAATATTAACTGTCTGCAAACATAATTGATAATATTTAATAAAAAAGTCAAAACTTCAAAATATGACAATACATAAAGCAATTGTATATTATGTTGATAAACGTGTATATACAATAAAGCAGTAGTCTAACGATAGAAAAAGAAGGGCGAAAAAATGATTCCGTCAAAAACAATTAAAAAAAGACACACACTGTAGAAGTAAAAATAAATTGTTTGTACGAGGTTGTATCGCAACAGAGAAGACATAAAAGATGCGAGAAATATCGCGAGAAAGGTGTGGAAAATTTCGTAGTTGTTTAGAGAAAGGAACGATACAGGAAGGGTGCAAAACGCGTGTAGGTTCGATCCGAGATTCGATTCAGCTCGTTTCCACCCTTGAAAATCTGGTCGCACCCAGACGAACGTTTGGTGTATTAGTCATTCGGGTACAGCTGGGAACCGTGCATGGGGGTGCACGCTCCCTTTTGCAAGGTCGAATCAATTCCGGCTTAGCTTGCGGCTAGGCTTCATTTTTCCCGTTAAATTTTCGACTTTCAACGCTCCGTATTCCTCTTTTAACTTGTCGCGAACGTCCCACTTTCGTCACGTGGCTACATGAAATTTTGGAATTTGGGGATTTATGAGTTTATGGTTTTAGGAGTTTGGAATTTGGAAGGTGGAGATTTTTGAATTTAAGGGTTTAATTTGGGGATTTAGTAAATTAGGAGTTTTGGAAATTAGAAATTTGGGAATTTAGAGTTTTGGGTATTTGGGGATTTAGGAATTGAGGATCTAGGAATTTGAGGTTTTAGGAGTTGGAAACTAGGGATTTAGAAACTTTGGAAATTAGAAATTTGGGAATTTATAGTTTCAGGAGTTTGGAATTTGCAATATAGGAATTTATAGATATGGGAATTTTGGGTCTTAAAAATTTCAGAATGTAAGAATTATGGATATAGCAATTTATGGTATTAAAAGTTTAGAATTTAGGTTCTTGGAAATTTTTGGATTTTTAAATTTTGTATTTAAGAATTCTAAATTTGTAGGAATTAAAAAATCACGTACCTAGGAATTTAGTAATCCAAAAACTCAAAAATTACGTAATTTAGCAATTTACCAATCTACTTATCTAAAAATTTAAAAATCTGTCAATGTAGTGCTTAAAAAATCTGACTGTTCAATATTATAAAATAAAATAAATCTTAATATTGTTAGTGAAAATATTATTGCTGTTGTTTATCATAACATGTACAGACGCCAATGCCGAAGCCATTAAGCGAAACAAATGTTACAATTTCACTTTTGACTCGAAAGAATCACCCTCCACGTGGCGATATAATGCGTAGCAAATTACACGCCGATTTTCAAAGCCAGTTACCGATTCGTCTCGCGTTTTACGACTCTGACTATTCCCACTAGGGTGAGAAAAACTAAACGGGCATCTTTGACAGAATCATTTTTTCTCCTTTCTTTTTCTATCGTTAGACTGCTGCTTTATTGTATATACACGTTTATCAACATAATTTATAATCACATTATGTATTGATGTGATATTTAAACATTTTAGCTTCTTTTATTAAATATTATTGATTACTAGTCAAGATGTAATTTGATGTTTTTAAATTTTACAAGTTATAATAAAATAAAATAAATAAATCAAAATAAAAATTTAATAAATTATATTATTGATTGTAATTTTCATCTTGTAGATTATAGATTATTCTTATATCTTATAGATTATAGGTTGCAGACAGTAGATTCTAGATTATACATTCCATAATATGTACTTTGCACTACACATAATAGATTGCACATTACAAATTATAATTTAAAGATTATAGATCATAGATAAGTACAAAGTCGTCGCTAGTCATAAAAAGGTTATCTATAATATCGCAAAGAGCAAGACTCGTAAAACACATTTTCACGGATCACAGAAACTATCGATAAAAACAATAAAAAAGATTAACGTAAAATAAATGGTACCTGGTGGAGGAACAAATGGCGGTTTTTCAGCAACGCACTAACACAATACACGTACATAGTTGCGAGTCATAAAAATTAATAGGATTTTGATAATGGACCGCACAAACACTTACCACACGATAAACACTTAACACTCGACAAACGATATTTACTCAAGAATGAATAACTATTTTACATATTAAAGAAAAACTTGTTCAGAACCGTAGCACGTGTCGCGACATTTCGATGCGTAAGAAACCACCTGAACAGCGGAACAGAGGAGGGGTATGATATATGCGAACATAGTGGCAAACTAATGAAGCGCCACTAGTTGACGATTTTGTTGTACTAATGCACGCTTTACGAACACCCATAGATCATCGCATTATTCTAACGAGTAGCAAAGAGCAGGTACAAGAGGCACTACGGGCGGTACTGTCGATGTTCGACAAACTGTCACTTTAAATTGTTTGTATAGACGCGCGGGAAATTTAAATCAAATAAATATAATTTATTGGCAACCTCTAATAATTCGAAATCTATTTGTCGTGAATTTTCTGTATATTATGAATGTTGGCTTTCGAAGTATTTATATCGATTATATAATGTTGAAAAGTGTAAAGAGAATTTGAACGGTTGAAAAGAATAGTTGACGAACTATTTATTACGAGAAAATACGGATGAGTGTATTAGAGGAAACGGACGAGGTATTTGTTACAAATAAATTACTGGTGAATGTGTTATAGGGTGAGTTGAAATATTTAGTTGTATTTATCACAAATTGTGAGGAAGTTACAAAGTATTTCTTTTTAATATGCTACGAATAAATGACAGGCGAATGCGCGGGTATAAAGCATTGTGTGACGGCCGCCATATTTGCATGCTACGACATTTTTCGTAATACGTCAAAATCCCCACCCTGCGTCATTTAGTTTCTTTCTCCGTGTCGCCTCATAGCTACTCTTTACAAAGAGGTTATCTGCAAAAGTGAAACACGAAACAAACGAAATAATCGACAAAACCAGTAAAAGTCAAAGAAATTAAAGTAAAATAAGATGAAGAGGCACGTGTCGGAGGAACAAAGGGCGATACACGAGTACAATAAACATAGTAGCGAGTGGAATAAAGGGTCAATCGAAGGCAACGAGTACAGAACGAGCAAGGAGATCGCAATGGATGAAATTGAGAGGAGGTAAAGCGCAGACGAAAAGAGGGGGAGAGATTCGAACGAGTTAAGTCGTTGGTGAGACCGAAAGCGATCAAATAGCCGATTAATAAAGGAACCGAGGAAGAGACGAGGATAGGACTAAACAGGGAGGCGAAGCGTGGAAAAGGAAGATAAGGAGATAGGAAGGGAAAGATTAAACAAAGAGGCGAAAAGAGAAGTGGAACGGGAGGTGGGAGGAGGAGGAACTGAGGGAGAGACGCGGAGAGACGGAAGGAGAGATTTATTCCCGAGATATATGGGAGCCTCTCGATCTGATCGTACACACGGACAATGTCGAACGACTTTAATTGATTTTGCCATTAAAAGAAGAATCCGATCGAGGATTTCGGGTAATTGGAACGCAGACGAATATAGAGGAAAGTAGCCAAATATGGAACTTTATTTGCTCGGTCAGAAGGTTTCGGGGGTTTTTCGAGGTTATGTTTGAGTACCGATTTAATAGACGTAATTAAAATATTATTGTTTGACATTTATTGCTTTCTTTTATGTATTATTTTTAGTGGAACTGAGGAATCAAATGGAAAGGCGGTTTACAAATTGAAGAATTTAAGAATTTAATGAATTGAAGATCTTGGAATATAGAAATTAAAGCTTCCAAATACTTGATGTGGAAATTTGTGAACTGAAGGATGTGGAAAATTTGGAATATGAAAACTAGAATTATAAAGTTTGGAAATTTTAGAATTAAAGTATTTGGATATTTGTGTAATTGAAAATTTGATAATGTGAGTGCAAAAATTTTTTTCAGAACTTTTCAGTACAAATATTAAAAAATGTAACATTTTGGATATTTAAAAAAGATTTCATTTGTCAAATGAACTCAAAAAGTTCATTTGGATATTATCAGCTACTTCAATTTTGAATTTCACAATTTTCCAAATTTCTAGAGTTTTTTAATTGTCAAATTTCTAATTTCTCAAATAAAAATTTTCAATCTTAAGATTCTAAAATTTTTTAATTTTATAAATTTCATATTCAATTTCATAAATTGTAAGACTCCAAAACTCTCAATTTCTTAAATTCTTGATTTCTAAAATCTTTAATTGTTAAATTTCTAATTTTCTAAACTACAAACATTCCAAATTTCTACTGTCCCAATTCTTAAGTAATGGATTTCCAAAATTTTTAATTTATAAATTTATAAATCTTTTAACAGTTAAATTTCAACTTTTACAAACAACTTCCAAATCTCTAAATAAAGAATTCCCAAATTCTTGAATTCTCAAGGTCTCAAATTCTTAAATTCTTAAATTCTCAAATTCCTAAATTCTCAAATTCCTAAATTCTCAAATTCCTAAATTCCTAAATTCTCAAATTCTCAAATTCCTAAATTCTCAAATTCTTAAATTCTCAAATTTCTAAATTCTCAAATTCCTAAATTCTCAAATTCCTAAATTCTCAAATTCCAAAATCCCAAAATTCCTAAATTCAAAATTCCATCACCCCTAAATTCTAAAATCTTCAAATTCCTAAACTTCCAAATTCTAAAATCCCCAAATTTCCAAATTCCAAATCCTATCATCCCTAAATTTTCAAACTCCTAAATCCCCAAATTCAAATATCCTCAAATTCCCAAATTGCAAACTCCCTAAATAGTTCATGTAACATAAGGCCAACTCGGAAGTTTGTATAGTCAGAAGATAAAAAATAAATAAGGTAGCCGATTTGGAAATCGATAGGAAAGGACGTAGTGCGTATGTAATTGGGTTGCGAGATCGTTCCCAGAGGAAGCTGAGGGGAAAAGCGAAGCAAGGAACGAAAGTCCGCAGAGGGGGCTGGACGTTGTTTGTCGGAAACCGGGGCATCCTGCTAATGCCTTGGTTAGTACTCCAGTTTCCTTTGTGCCACCCTCGTGCGCTGCAAATCCACCCCTCCACGCGGATACGCACCCCTTGCAGAATGCAATTTAAGCCGGCAGGATACGCACTATGCTTAACCGGCCACCACGTGACCAGCCGATCGATGCTTACGAAAATTTTCATGAAACTAACCCCCCTCTCCTTTTATTCTTCTCGGTGTTTCACGGTGAAATGATTTGGAAAGGATAGGAAAGTTGGTGTTTGAAAATTGGAGGATTTTATAGCTTTGCTGTTTTAGGGAATTTGAAGTTTATGGATTGAGGGGTTGGGGGTGTTTTAAATTTAAGGATTGTGAATTTGAGTATTTGGTCATTTTGGTGAGTGAGGGATTTGATATTGAGCATTTGAAAATTTGAGAATTTAAGAATTTAGAAATTTGGTAATTCTGGTGAGTGGGGGATTTAATGTTGGACATTTAACCATTTTGGAATTTAGTAGTTTTGATGAGTGGGGGATATACTATTGGACATTTGAGAATTTGGGAATTTGAGAATTTAAAAATTTGAAAACATAATTTGGAGATTTAGGAATTTGAGAGTTCATAAATTTGCAGATTTGGTCTTCCATACATTTTTTTCTAAACTTTTAGATTTTATTACATTTATTAAACTCCGCAAACTTTCCCAAGTATTTTAACATTTCAAACTTCTTAAACTTTTCAAACTACACAAATGTCGGGAATTTCTTAAACTTCTCAAACTTGCAAAATTTCTTTAACTTCTTTAATTTCTCTCAAATTTCTCCAATTTGCAAAAGTTCTCAAATCTCTCAAATTCCTCTAATTTGCAAATGTTCTCAAATTTCTGAAATTCCTCAAATTTGTAAAAGTTCTGAAATTCCACAAACTTGCAAAAGTTCTCAAATTCCTCAAACTTGCAAAGGTACTCCAACTCCTGAAACTTGCAAAAGTTCTCAAATGCTTCAAATTCCTCAAACTTGCAAAAGGTCTTAAATCTTTCAGCTTCTTCAAGCTTGCAAAAGTTCTCAAATTCTTTAAATTCCTCAAACTTGCAAAAGGTCTCAAATCTCTCAAATTCCTCTAATTTGCAAAAGGTCTCAAATTTCTCAAATTCCTCAAATTTGCAAAAGTTCTCAAATTCTTCAAACTTGCAAAAGTACTCCAACTCCTCAAATTTGCAAAAGTTCTCAAATTCCTCAAATTTGCCAAATTTCTCAAATCCCTCAAATTTCTCAAATTCCTCAAATTTACAAAAGTTTTAAAATCTCTCAAGTTCCTTAAATTTGCAAAAGTTCTCCAACTCCTCAAACTTGTAAAAGTTCTCAAATGCTTCAAATTTCTCAAACTTGCAAAAGGTCTCAAGTCTCTCTAATTCCTCCAATTTGCAAAAGTTCTCAAATTTCTCAAATTCCTCAAATTTGCAAAAGTTCTCAAATTCCTCAAACTTGCAAAAGTACTCCAACTCCTCAAACTTACAAAAGTTCTCCAACTCCTCAAACTTGCAAAAGTTCTCAAATGCTTCAAATTCCTCAAACTTGCAAAAGGTCTTAAATCTTTCAGCTTCATCAAGCTTGCAAAAGGTCTGAAATATTTCAGATTCTTCCAGCTTGCAAAATTCTTTAAATTCTTCAAACTTGCAAAAGGTCTGAAATCTTTAAAATTCCTCAAACTTGAAGTTCTCAAATTTCACAATCCTCGCAAACTTCCCAAACTTGCAAACTCTAACTTCTTCAACTTCTCAGATTCCTTACATTTCCAAATCTTGTCAAACTCGTCGTACTCGTCAAACTTCTAAAATATATTAAATCTCTCAAGTTTACAAATAATGCAAAACCTAATTTAAAAATCCCTTAATTTCCATATCTCTCCATCTCCACACACCCACCTAAACCAAATTCTCAAATTCCCTTATCCAAACACCAAGAAGAATCAATAAAATCCATTAAGTTAATTCAGCATACACATCGTTTCAAAGTTAAAGTTCCACGCGTGACCATTAAAACCGCGTTGCCTAGGAAGTGGACCTCTTTCTTCTTGCCTTTCTCCCTTTTCTTTTCATTCCGGCATCGGAATGATCTCGCTCTCTCCCTATGAAGAAAGAAAGAAACAGGGTGCTGGAGGAAGAAGAATGAGGGGGTGGAGGGGGTTGAAACCCTTTTATCGTCGCGTACTCCGTTGTCCTTGCACAATGGTCCGTGTAATCAGCGGCGAGTGATTGTCACACGACGTGTACCTTTCCCTATTTCTCTCTCTTCTTTCTCGGCTTTCTTCCTTTTTCTGCATTTTTCTCGAACTGCAAGGGCCAGCGTACAATGATGTCGGGGATTCGTCATTGTTCCAAGCAACCGTAAAAGCAAAGCAAAAGCCGTGACAGAAAAAAAGGAGAGGAGAGAAGAAAAAACATCTGAGCAATACTTTAATATGGCCTCCTCCTTCTGTGCGCCGCGTTTCCTCAGCCATCCACGAAAATCTCATCATTTAGAGTGGCTGTGCGATATGCAAAGCAACCCGACGTAGTGTGAACTCCTTTTTACAACGAACAATTACGTAATGTGGCCAACGGAAAGAGATCATCGGGAGACGATTCAGAACGCGTTGTGTTCTCGTTACGACTGAAATATCACGTTTCGCGCGTTTTGCGCGGTTTCATCGCGCGGAAACTCGGGGTGACGGATCAAGTGTGACTGAGAAAATGGCGGACGGAGCGCGGGAAAGTCTGAGCTATTTGAACATTTGGGGTATTCGTGGGTTACGGTTAGAGGTTATTACTAGTTGTGGATTTTGATAAATTTTTTTAACTTATGGAATTTGTGAAATTTGTGGAATTTGTAAAATTTATGAAGTTTGTAAAATTTATAGAATTTGTGAAAATGCAAAACTTTACAGAATATATTGAATTTATAGAATTTATGGAATTTATAAAATTTGGAGAATTTATGAAATTAGAGAATTTTTGAAATTTATGGAATTTGCCAAATTTATAGAATTTGTGATATTTGTGAAATTATTAGAATTTGCAAAACTTTACAGAATGCGTTGAATTCATAGAATTTATGAAATTAGAGAATTTGTGAAAATTATGGAATTTGTAAAATTTATAGAATTTTTGATATTTGTGAAATTATTAGAATTTGCAAAACTTTGCAGAATATGTAGAATTTATAGAATTTATGGAATTTATAAAATTTTGAGAATTTATAAAATTAGAGAATTTGTGAAATTTATGGAGTTTGTAAAATTTATAGAATTTGTGATTTTTGTGAAATTATTAGGATTTGCAAAACTTTGCAGAATATGTAGAATTTATAGAATTTATGGAATTTATAAAATTTTGAGAATTTATGAAATTAGAGAATTTGTGAAATTTATGGGCTTCATCAAATTTAGAAAATTTGTAAAATTTATGTAAAATTTCCAAATACCTAAGTACTCAAAGTCCCTAATTGCCAAATTAATAAGTAAACTTTTCAAATTTCCAAATGACCAAATTTCAAAATTACTAAATTCTGAAATTTACAAACACCATTTTCAAATTTTCAAATTCCAATATTTCCAAATCCTGAAATATCAAATTTTCCCAATCGCCTCCATCCAAATTTCCAAATATCTAAATACTCAAATTCCCTAACTCCCAAATTTATAAATAAACTTTTCAAATTTCCAAATGACCAAATTTCAAAATCACTAAATTCTGAAATTTACAAACAACATTTTCAAATTTCCAAGTTCCCATATTTCCAAATCCTCAAATACCAAATTTTCCCAAATCGCTACTTCCAAATTTCCAAATACCTAAATACTCAAATTCCCTAACTCCCAAATTTATAACTAAACTTTTCAAATTTCAAAATATCCAAATATCCAAATTTTTAAATTCTGTAATTTACAAGCAGACTTTTCAAATCCCCAATTCCCAAATACCTTAATTTCCCAAAGTCCTTTCCAATCCCCCAAGTACATACAATCACCGTAAAACCGTTATCTCATAATTTTAGTCATATAATCGATAATAAGCAAAGATTACTAAAATTATTGGGTGCCTTTTCAATACAGATACGTCGTCTAACTGTAAGCTGCCGCAATGCAAACAAGAATATATAATCACTGTTTTACTATTACTTTAAGCAGTCAAGAAGCAGTTAGAGGTATCTTAAATCGCATCTAGGGAGTTGACTTCTGTTCTCGTGGGGAAACCGGAAATGCCTAGAGGCTGCGAATCGAGCAGGTAGGACAGGTAAAACGGGTGGGGTTTCCGTTTCGAGATCGTTCATCAGGATTGATTCATCTTTCGTATTTTCTTTGCAGGAAGCATCCTAATCACCGGACGAACGAACTTTTCACTGATTAATGCTATAATCGTGCTAATTAGCTCTGCGTCTAGTAAGAAAGCTCAACTATAAATATATGGGGTATTAATTTTTTTCTATATAATCGGGAAGGATGCAATTTTATGAGATTAATGTAAAAGTAAAATGGAATAAAATTGCTGGTATAAAATATTGATGCAAGCGGAAAATATTAAATTTGAGGATCATTTAAATAATTGTAATATTATTTGTGATGGAAGTATAGTTGAGGGATAGTATAGTACACTGATATATATTGGAAAAAATGAAATACAATAGTGAAATGGTTAATCAATAAAATAGTGAGATAGTAAGAGAAGTTTATAGTAAAAATAAAACTGAGTGTTATAGTAATAATTGAAAAAATAAAATATGATAGTGAAATAATTAATGAGTAAAATGGAAAAATAATAGTAATGAAGAAATGATAAAATATGTAAAATAGTATGACTGTGTTATAGTACAATAGTAGAAAGCATTACATGAATACAGTAGTATAGTTTCATAACAAAATAGTAAAGTGGTAAAACAGTATTATAGTAGTCCATGAAAGTATAGTTGAGGGTTAGTATAGTATACTGATATATATTGGAAAAAATGAAATACAATAGTGAAATGGTTAATCAATAAAATAGTGAGATAGTAAGAGAAGTTTATAGTAAAAATAAAACTGAGTGTTATAGTAATAATTGAAAAAATAAAATATGATAGTGAAATAATTAATGAGTAAAATGGAAAAATAATAGTAATGAAGAAATGATAAAATATGTAAAATAGTATGACTGTGTTATAGTACGATAGTAGAAAGCATTATATCAATACAGTAGTATAGTTCCATAACAAAATAGTAAAGTGGTAAAATAGTGTGACTGTGTTATAGTACAATAGTAGAAAGCATTACATCAATGCAGTAGTATAGTTTCATAACAAAATAGTAAAGTGGTAAAATAGTATTATAGTAATCCAGCAAAATTAGTATAGTAATAGTGCAGTAATATAGCAGAGTATAGTGGCATGGCAGTATACTGAAGTAGTGGCATAGTAGTATATCAGTAGTACAGTAACAGCATAGTAGAAGTATAGTAGCAGTACAGTTGTAATGTAATAGTAGTATAGTAGTACTAATGTAATAGTATTATAGTAACAATATAGTAGTAGTATTATAGTAACAGTATAGGAATAGTGTAGTAGTAGTAGTATAATAGTTATATAATAATAGTATAGTAGGACAATAGTAGCAGTAGTATACTATTAGTATAGTAGCATTATAGTAGTAGTACAGTACTAGTACAACACTGTAGTAGCAGTATAAGAACAGTATAGTAGTTGTATAGAAATAGTATAGTAACAGAATAATAGAAACGGTACAGTAGCAGCATAGTAGTAGTATAGTACTGTAATAGCAGTATAGTAGGTGTATAACAGTACAGTACTGTACAGTACTATAGTACCTGTATAATAGTAGTATAGTAGCACAATAGCAATATAGTTGTAGTGCAGTACTAGCATAGTACTATAGTAACAGCAGTAAGAGCAGTGTTAGCAATAAGAGCAGTGTTATAATTGCATATTAAAAGTATAGTAGCTCAATAGTATTAATAGTATAGTAGTAGTGCGGTAGCGTTATAGTAGCAGTACATTAGTAGTATAGTACTGGAGCAGCAGTATAAGGGCAGTATAATATAGTAGCTCGATATAGTAGTTCTACAGTAATAGTGTAGTAGCACAATAGGAGCAATAATATAGTAGTGGTGCGGTAGCGTTATAGTAATAATACAATACTATAGTAGCAGTATAAGAGCAGTATAGTAGTTGCATAGAAATAGTATAGTAACAGAATAATAGAAGCAGTACAGTAGCAGCATAGTAGTTGTACAGTAGTAGTGTAATAGCAGTATAGTAGTTGTAAAGTACTAGTACAGAAGCAATATAGCAGTAGTATAGTAGCAGTATTATAGCACTAGTTTAACGTCAGTAGTATAGTAGTTATATAGTTGTAAGGTAATAGCAGTATAGTAGTAGTAAAGTACTAGTACAGTAGCAATATAGAAGTAGTATAGTAGCAGTATTATAGTACAAGTTTAACATCAGTAGTATAGTAGTTGTATAGTAGTAGTATATTAATAATACAATAGTAAAATAAAGACGTATTAGTAGTATATTCTTATTATAGTACTTTGGTAGTACAGTAGTAGTGTATTAATGATATTGTAGAAGTATGTCAGTACTATAATGCAATATTAGTATAGTAGTGCGATAGTGTAGTAATATGATATATCAAATAAACGTAATAATAAAATAGTACAAATAATAGAAATTTAAAATCCCTAAGCATTAAAGCGTCCAAAATTACAATTATTTTGTTATCAAAAAATTGTTTAAATTTTCAATCATCATTTTTCGTCAAAAGTTATTTAAACTCGTCGTCAAAAAATTGCTTAAAATTGCAGTCGCTATATTCGTCTAAAAATTTTACAATATCACAAGACTACAATCGCAATCAGTACATTAAAATCTTTTTTACAATCTATACGCAAATAAACATTACTTCAGTTCCCACAATAATTAAACGTTCCAATCGTACAAGAGTGAAACACATCGACGATTTCAGGAACCACAGCAGCAGAGATCAACTATACAACGATCGTCTACACAAGATTTTCCGAAAAGCGCGAACCGGAAAATGGCTCGTAACCGCGAGTAACTTGGAGGTCGTGGAAGAGGAAGACGAAGAGAACGAAGAGGAACAGAAGATCGGTGGTTAAGCCGCTTTTTGCTAAGTGGATGAGAAGCCAGGAGAACCGACCCGGTGAACCGAGGTCCCCGAGAACAGAACGGTACCCTGTGCCCTCTTCCTCCTCCTCCTCTTCCTTCTTATCCCTCCTCCTCACAGAGTTCCTTCTTCTCCCGTCATGCAGGCTACCGAGGACGAGGAGTCCGGTAGTGCCTTCAGGCTCTTTTCCGTAAATTCCTGCTTACGTGTTTTTGACGTACTATACCATACATGCGTGCCACTTGCATCGGTTACGTCTGCATCTACCGTTCCTTTCGAGAATTCGAACATAACCGAGTCTCCATTACCTTTACGATGGGCTACCTAACCTTACTTGGTTACATCTTTTATTTTCTAATTTGCTTCTGGGCTGAAAATACTTGGGACTTGTGGTGATTAAACGTAACTTGGATAAATAGCTTATTTATCAAATTTAAAAATTTAAAATAGTAAAACTATTTTTGATAAATATAGAGTTCTGTCAATTAATAAATGTACAATTCTGTCAATTTTTAAGAAACTAAATTTTCAAACATTAATTAACAAATATTTAATTTTAACAATTTCTAAAAGACCAAATTTAAAAATCTCAATTAATAAATGTACAATTCTGACAATTTTTAAGAACCTAAATTTTCAAACATCAATTAACAAATATTTAATTTTAACAATTTCTAAAAGTGCAAATTTTCAAATGTCAATTAACAGATATATAATTTTATCAATTTTTAAAAATTCAAATTTTAAAATCTCAATTAATAAATATACAATTCTGTCAATTTTTAAAAATCTAAATTTTTAAATATCAATTAATAAATATTTAATTTTAACAATTTCTAAAAGTGCAAATTTTCTAATGTCATTTAACAGATGTATAATTTTATCAATTTCTAAAAATTCAAATTTAAAAATCTCAATTAATAAATATACAAATCTATCAATTTTTAAGAACCTAAATTTCCAAACATCAATTAACAAATATTTAATTTTAACAATTTCTAAAAGTGCAAATTTCCAAATATCAATTAACAAATATTTAATTTTAACAATTTCTAAAAGTGCAAATTTTCAAATGTCAATTAACAGATACATAATTTTATCAATTTCTAAAAGTCCAAGTTTAAAAATCTCAATTAATAAATATACAATTCTGTCAATTTTTAAAAACCTAAATTTCCAAACATCAATTAACAAATATTTAATTTTAACAATTTCTAAAAGTGCAAATTTCCAAATGTCAATTAACAAATATTTAATTTTAACAATTTCTAAAAGTGCAAATTTTCAAACATCAATTAACAGATATATAATTCACACAATTTAAAAAGGTCAAAATTTCCAAATCTTTAAATACAACAAAAATGAAATAATGCAATATTTTACAATAATGTAAAAAGTCTGAAAACAAAGAAAAACCCTAGAAAACTTTCCAAAAATATTTTCCCAAATAAAACTCACATTCTTTCATTTCTATTGTGTTGTATCTTATATTTCCCTTATAAATTATAAATAATAATGCAAATACTAATTATGAAGTACTTTGCAAAATAAAACTAGATTTTCCCTAAACACTTATAACCCCAACAAATTGTTTCAAATTTCCATCACAAATATTAATAAATACTAATATAAACAATTATTAATAAATATTTTTGTATTGCAAATATCCTTGAAGATCAAATACCTGAGTTACTGCAATAAATTAATGATTAACAAGAATATATCAAAGTTTTTTCTTAACCTATTACAATAAAATATGAATGATGAATACTCATATTTATTAACGACAAATAACCTTCCCACATTTAATTTTTAAATTTCACTTATTTCAACTGCTTCCTCTCGCGCAAGAAGATCAAAAGAAAGGATCGTTTCCGTGTTATAATACGCACAGTAGAGGATTCATACAATGGCGAGCAAAAAAAGATCAGACGCGATAATTAACTGTAAGTAAAAGAGGAAGCTAGAAATGTTTTTCGGTAGAGCAGAGCGGTACGCCTGCAGTCCCGTAACTCTTCTTGATATTACCAATATTACTAGACGGACACTGAACCAACACTGCGACGAAGTCATTACCAACAACGCGTTGCTTTCACCCGATATAGTGGAACCGAGGTGTTCGAACACCGTTCGATCGACCTGGCTTGAACGCATGAGCGCTTGTCTTCTTTTTGTTACTGGGAAGTGTTCTTTGTTATCTTAATATTCAATTTTCAATATTTTCTAAATAGTAGATGTACGGTATTATTAACGTATTAATTATATTTGGTCAGTATTATTTAAGTATTGAAAGATCATTATTATCTACATATTAAATTTTCAGTATTGTTTAAGTACTCAATCTTCATTATTATCTAAACATTAAATGTCCTTTGTTACATAAAAATTAATGATTTATCTAAGTATTTAATGTTTGTTACTATCAAGATTTTAGGACGAATTGTTGGAATTTTGTGGTGGAAGATAATGTATAGAAAGGATGTCCTTACTATATATAAATAAACTTGCTTTAATCACATTAATTAGTATAATACAATAAAGTAATGAATTATATGTCTAGTAAATTTCAGTACTGTGTTCATTGTCAACTTTAAATTAACAGGACCCTATACAGGATATCAATATTAAACATTCAGTATTATCTGAACGTTAAATATTCATTATTATGTAAATATTAATCACTCGATGTTATCTAGGTATTCAATGTTCGTTATCTAGATACTAAATGTTCATTATTATGATAATATTAAACGCTGTAAATATTAATCACTTGATGTTATCTAGGTATTCAGTGTTCGTTATCTAGATACTAAATGTTCATTATTATGATAATATTAAACGCTTATTACTGGCTAAATATTAAGTACTCATTGCAATCTAGATATTAGATGTTCAATGTTATCTACATATTAAATGTTCATTAGCATCTAAATATTAAATGTTCAATATTACCTAAACATTAAATATTCAATATTACCTAAATACTAAATGTTCGTTATTACCCAAAAATTAAATACTCAATATTATATAAATATTCATTATTATTAGTACAATAAGCTGTCAACATATGTTTCAACGTATCTAACCTTTTCAGGAACGATTCGAACCTCACAAAAAGAAGTGATGTATAACTTCTAAAGTAATTATGCTTTGCTTATTTTCAATCTGTAGCAACTAAACAAACAAATTCTAAAAGTATCAATAATATACGGAAGAAGTGGTAATATACATATGTATGTTCGACACTGGTTGTTGAATTTGAATTCTTAAAAAGAAATTAACGATAGAATATATGCTAGTGTCCTTGACAAGGTTAACCGTTCTATGACTTTTGAAGCTCCGTAAAATATTGCGTTTGTAATAATGTATGTACGGTAGTGTGAAAAAGTATTCGAAACTTCTTTATTGTAGTACAACGAAGAAATGAATACCATTGAAATATGGAGATAAAATAGAGAAATAATACTATTTCCAATGGATTTATTTATGTATAATTCTGTCGATTACCGAGTTTTGAAGATATCCTATCATGATACTATAGTTTTTCAAATTTTAGAGAATATTCAATAAATTATAAATATACATCAACTAAGCTTCAGGAAGTATTTGAAATTCCTCCTTGCGGTACAAATGAAGAATCAAAACGTTCCCATTTATGATGGGCTTATTTATGAATAATATTTGTTATTAAATATTAAATATATAACATAAATACTATAGTAATTTTTCCAGTCTCAAGGAATTACAACTGAAAAATTATAATTAATCTACGAAGCGTCGAAAACTGTTCAGAAATCTCGCCGTAATTCAAGATGGCGCCATATTGGTTAGCGCGTCATTTCTATTCTAATTGCATTCTTGCTGACATTCTACACTATATTAATATGAAACAGCGTAAAATTAACGTAAAAAATATTTGTAATTGCACTAAAAACGAAGTGGAGTAATTAGATGTAGAAATACGGACATTAGTATTAAGATCATCGGTAATTTTTCATCGAAAGATAAAACATTACGCGTCGCAGATATTAATATTAAAAGGTCCACGTTTACGATTTTATCGGAGCGACGTTTTTACCCAGAAAAGTATTATTTCCTTATCATCACCTCCTACTCTCAGATGCATCACAGTTAATTTTCGTTGAAACCATTCTAAGTCATATTTCTAACAAAATAAACCACAATTCGTAATTAATTTTCAAAGAACAGTGAAATTGTTTGGGGGTTTTGTGCGCCGATCCTAAAACAAGAACCGTGTCGACTTTGCGAGTACTAGAAACTGAACTAGAACTTGCAAGCTGATAACAGAAGCAATCATTCCTAGACCGACCAACAGATCTCACTCATATTGACGTCACGCAACCAATATTATACAATTCGTACTTTTAGAATTGTCCTTATTACTAAAAACCAGAGGCAAATTCCGTAAAGTACTCGGCTAAATCTGTCAACCTAAAGTGAACTTACACCACCTTCAAAATAATCTTTCCAATACCACTAATTACCCAAACCATCAGTATTATCGAACTTCAAATATTTTCACTGTAGACTGCTCACAGATAAGAATACCATATCAAGTTCTATTCTCAATTTTTCAAAAATGAACGTGCTCCACTTCCAAAATAAACGAACTAATCCAAACACAGAATCCATATTTTCGACCCGGGGTACGTGAACCCCCAAGCTCGTCCGTTTTCGTCCGGTAAAAACCGAAGCGGTAAAGAATAATACGAGTCGGTATAAAGCAATCCCGGCTAAGAGCAAGGAATTCGAGTCGGAGCAAAAAAGGGAGATGGACCTAACCGGAAGTGGCCGAGACTCGATCACCCTCGGATCGTTACAATGAAGCTTGCCGGACTCGTGGAACGGAGGAAAGCGACGCGAAAGAAAGAAAGAGGGAAAACAGGTGGAGAGGATAAAAGGTGGGGATCGTCGAGAAGGAAGAGATGTAAGGAGACGAAGGTGCGAGAGGGGAGGTGGTTCTACTGTCGCGGGAACGCCACGCGTGATCGAGTTACCTGGACGAACCGGCGTGGCGCAGGTGAGGTTGGTACACGGCCTACGGGACAAAGAACCGCAAGAAATACCGATACTACCTCACTCCGGGACTGTAAGGTCGCTGTCACGACCCACAATCAAAATGTTCACACGTCGAACCGTCGACTGCGAACGGTTCAGGGAGTCCACATCGAGTAGGCAGCTCGAAGAAATTCGCGAAAGCTCGCGAAATGCCGCGTCGGACGCGAACCGAGTCGAATTCGACGAATTGTACAACGTGGAAACGCGCTTTTAAGGGATACCTAGACACGCGAGCCCTTCTGAGACATCGATACGTCGATACATAGATACCCGAAGCATTGCCTCATCCTTCCTGTGCGGTTTGCCCGTTACGTTGCGTACACTGCCGTCCACAAGTATTGGGACACTCGCTTTTCATAATTATATGGATTATC